CCGAGGGTAAAAAATGGGTTTCCGAGCTTTCGGAAACCGATAAAAGGGTTCTCGAGGGCAAGAAACGGGTTTCCGAACACTCGGAAACCTTTCTCCCTTGGTTTCCGAGAATACTGTTTTTTTTAGAGAGTACTGAAAAAAATTTTCTCAGTCGTGTATTTTGCCCAATTCTAAAAACTTCAGTAAACTTATAGTCAATAACTATCAATCGGATTATCAACTATACCTGTTAATTCCATTTTTGACGAACTTTCATATGGTACAAAATTCAATGTTGATATCATTTGCTGTTGGAGCTGTACCGCCCGGGCAAAACATTTTTGACAACTCTGTACGTGAGGAATTCAGATGTAACTTCATTTAATAGCGCAAAGAATAAACATTTTATCAAGTATTATTAAAAAAATATTTGATTCTGATGTAGAATTGATTTTGTATGCTTAATATTTAGCTTTGTTTCGTATAAAAATGTAGATAATGAATGGTTTTTTATTTATGTGTTTTTTTTGTTGTGTAATAAGAATTGAAATATGTCAATGACTGACACCATATTAAATATGACTTTAAATTTGAAGATAGATCTAAATGCAAATGAATAGTCTGGGTTTATTTTTCTCTTGAAAGCTCTTTCTCAATTTTCTTCCTCGCATGTTGTCAGACGTCTACATTGAAACTTTTGGTTTTAAGAAAAATACAAAAACATGTCAGAAATGCCAAGCAAATGAAATAGAAATGCTATACTCATCAGAAAGATCATCATTTTTTACGATAACTTAGAGAAAAAGATGTGACAAATTGATTGGTCTTAGATGTTCATGAAAATTTCTTCTCAGCAAGGATGTGAGCCTTCCTTGACAGACAATGACTATTAATATAAAACTCAAGTGACGTGTCGATCATAAAAATATGTTATTTCACAAGGACTCTTGATATTCCTTTTTCGACGAATGAATACATTAAACGACGTGAACAATGAATTATGGCAACGAATAAGTGATGAAGATGTACTGGATCGATTTTGAACAAATTAAATGCCAAAATTTGACTTTCGGTGGTATCCCTGTTGAATATTTTTCGGCTCTGAATGTTTTTCAAAAGTCAAACGGACAGAATGGATTAAAAAAGAATAGTATTCAAGTATATATACCTTGGAGAAATTCATGTATTTCATATTGAATGGGAGCTTGATAATAAACAGTCAGCGTATATTGTCGACTTTTGAAGGAATTAACAAAATATTTTAAACTTCGGTTTGGCTTCATTGAATAGTGAATTTATTTATTTCTCTGCAGAAGTTATAAATTTTTATTTTGAACAGATTTTTCACGTTACACTACAGTTAACAGGATTAATACTTACTCATTAATACAACTGCGAAAGTCACGGAAAAGCGAAAAAATTATAAGGAATTTTTCGACATGGACTTGATGCAGTTCGAAATATGTTACAATATTCTATCCAAAATTTTGCATCTTTCGGTGACATTTTCAAAGTTTTAGAACAAACATTGGGGAAGGAAAATTCCGAACTTGAAAAGCTAAACAATCAAACAAAAGCTCTTTACAAAACGGTTTGAGCTGCTTTTTACAATTGATTCAAAGTAGTGTAAACGTTTCAGATGTTTAAGTCTACACATACGCTGTTGAACCCAGAATTCTGTTCTCAATTCCGCGGTACGAGAGAGCTAAAGTAATGATCTTATAGAGCGAGAAATTCTCTATCTTTTGAGGTACAATATTTAACTGTTAAATTGATCGTGATGAGTTCGTGTTGTAACAAATCGCTTACATGTAAAACTTCTCCTTCCAATTTTGATAGTTTATAATAAACCAGAAAACACATGGCAGCACATAAAAACCCACACACCTGGTGTGGGTGCCACGAAGCCGACAATCGCAAGACAACAAGTATGCAAAAACTGTGACAAGACTCACTTGAAAACGAGTTGGGATGCGTCGCACACCTCAAAACTGTAGTAGTTTAAAGCTCCATAACTCAACTTAAAAATTTTTCAAAATTCGTCAAGCGTAAAAGTCGAATACTCCAATTATAAACTTTTCTGAATGCGTTAGGTTTGGATGTGGGTGGGTATGAGTATTGCTTGATGAGAAATACAACCACATTCACACCCCACACACCCACATCCTAAAAGTCTATCGGATCTCAGATAATCATTTATATCAGCATTGCAAACACTCTATTCTAATTTTTGGAAGAAGGTTTGTGAATCTGTGCCTGAAAGACTTCATCGGTGTATTGATGCTGATGGACATCCGTTTGGGCATATGAAATGGGTTTTTCTTCAACTATTGTATGTGTGAATAATTTTGAGGGTGTGGCAGTGGCGATGGGTCTCAGTGTCTTTTCTCTGAGAAATCATCACCCACATCCATTCACATTCACATTCACACTTGCACTCTCAATTTCATTAATTAGAGAGCGCATTTGATTGTTTTGTTGAAGTCAAAGAAATCGTGAGAATACCGATGGCCATCGTTATACTTGTACATTGCTTTATCTAGTTTGTTTCAAATCGAACAGCTCAAAGAGTTTTCTCAAAAGATTTCTTACGATTGACAGAACCATTGTCAAAAATACATAGGATAGAATGACTTCTCAAATACTCAAAGGTCGTTGAGCCAGAGGGTGAGTGTGGATGTTGGTGTGTGTGTAAACGGGTGGTGTCACTGTGGGTATGAGTGTGGATATAAGTCTCCTCTTTAGCACATCCACACCCTCACATGTCACACTGACACCCCACACCCATACCCACACCCTTGTTATGGTAATCCTGTCATACCAAACATTAGCTATTGCACATTTTGCTAGTTCCGCAGCCCTCTCTTTTATTATTCATACATATCTATATATATATATATATGCAAATGAAAATCGAATCTTTAGAATAGCAAAAAGTAGGATAGCAATTAAGATGAGAAGAATAAGATAATAAATAAAAAGCAAAAAACGAACACTACACAATATATTATATGTACATGTATATCAAAGAGAAGAAAGAAAATATAAATCAGAGATCCACAAAACAACTAAAAGCTCATATCACCACTACCCTACTCCTTTTCATCAGGATAATATTGTTATCGATGAGATTCTTGAAAATTTCTGAAGCATCACGGCTAGTCGGAAGCAGGCATCCTCCAAGAAATACAAAAGCTTACATGGCAATTGTATATCACCCTGTCCTATACGGGCATACTAGTATAAAATATCTCATATTTTTCAATACAATACACAATAACTTAAAACTATAATACAAGGCATTCGTTACAACATATTTCTTCAACTAAATCTGCTACAAACTCTTCTGGGAAAGTAAAATCTTTCGAATTAATAAAATCTATTCTTTAAATTTAAGATCGGTTCATCTGGATGAGACTGTTTTGCGATATTTCATTCTCAATTATCTCTACATATTCTTAGAAGGTAACTAATCGGCTATATACAATTGTCACCACAAAATAAAGCGTTAAATAAATCCTTAACAGATAGATTTTAGTCAATCAATCATAAGGCAAATTTCATTGTAATGTCAACCATTAAAATATAGTCATATACTACATAAGTCAATTATTGATAAACCTATACAAATTCTACATTCTTCTTCGAGGACACAAATTACATTCAATATCTCATTTCTGTGATATAATAAATATATGTAAACTATTGCAAAATACTATGAAACTAATAACACTTATTTATTTTTATAAATTTAGCTCTGTTCTTTACAAGAAGTAAGTACAGACAATAAGCTGGGAAACTAGTAAAGACTTTTGCGCATCGTCCCACAACTAGGTAGATTATGATGATGTGACTTCGTAGCTAGCGGATCTCTGACACTGATAATAAAAAAACTGAATTGCTTTCCTCAATCTGATATATGCATACATATATATACATATGGCGTTCCTGAAATAGAATAGGTAGAAGAAATTATTAATTATTAGTTTCATATGAACTTAGTCCAAATGATACAATTTCATCAGGTTGAACATGAAATTCCCAATTTTTTACTGGTGACGTAACATTATCAAATGGAGCAGTAAGTACTAAATTTCCACAATGAATTTCTTCTATTATTGCATATGCTTCCCACGTGCCCATGTCAACTGTTTTTTCCTCTACTACATAATAATCACATTTTTCGACAGCAAATAAACCACTTTCTAATGTAGAACCTGATGGTTGAGACCAGACTACACTGCATTGAATTGATGCATTTTGTGCATTATAGATAACAGCTGAATAAACAACACGTGGTGCAAGTGAAGCTGAAATGGTTGATGCAAGAAATAAAGTCCAAATAGTAAAATAGATCATTGACATAATTATTTCAATCTACAAAATCAAAAAGAAAAACTCAAGAATTTTTATTCTTCAAATGAAGGCGATAGATGATGTTAAATTTTATTTCAAGTACATAAACATAAAATTTTGTAATTTTTCATGTAGACCAATATATTGTCAATGTTCGCAAACTAGAAAAATCAATTAATTGATTGGCAAATTCTAAAATACATAAGAAAATATTGATTGTTTTAGAAGTTAAACACAAAATCCAAATAGTTCACGATTAAACGAACGAGCTTGATGATTAAAAAGTACATGAATATAATCCTTAACTTTCACAAAAGAATTGAAATAAAATAACAACAACAAACATCAATGACAAACGGTAAACTTTAACATCATCTTTTTAAATAGTAATGATTATCATCATTAGAGAATTGAATGAGCTAGTAAACAGTACTCTAAATTTGCTAACTCTCGCCAATACTATGTTCTTCAAGTAAATTAAGTAATGTATCATAAAGTTCTCCATCATGAATAGCAAATTCATCAATTTGAAAATCTTCTAATTTATTATTTTCATTTTCTCCACCTTGATATTGTTCAGGTACATCAGGATAATCATCTGCTAAATATGAACATAAAAATGATAACGTTTGTCTACCACGATTAATGTCAACAGTAAACGTTAGTCGCAATTTTAATTGCACTGATGGTTGTGACGTATTAGCATTTGTTTGTTCTGTTTCTTGACCAGATCCAGCTGCACTTACTGTATTTGCTATATGAAATTTAACAGTTATTTTTTCATTTCCCAATTGACGACTTGATGCTATTTCAAGACCATCGGTTTTAACCTGTGAAAATATAATGAAAATATTTTCGCTGAGCTTTTTTTTTCTATGAAGTAACGAAGGGTAAATTATCTATCGAAATAAAAAAGGTAAGTGTATGATAAATTTTCAATATTGGAAACTTTTTTTTAATGAAAACGGTATTAAAAGAGTCGCTTAATGTGATTTCAATATCCGAAATATGAATATAGAAATCGCATATTACCGATTACATAGGGTAGGTCATAGCCAATTGAAACATTCACAGTTATGTTCACTCGAGTGGATTTATTCAAGCTTTTTCTTTCCTTACGGATAATGTAAAAAAATCTCATTGCCAAGTTATATTGTTCGCCTGACTAAATAAATTTCGCCTATAACCAAATACGAAAAATGCATGTGAAGCGTTGCATAGATGTTTTCTTTGCTCTCAACTACGTGAATAATAACTCAAAATACAACTACATTGATATATACAGAGAGCGTTTTTTCAAAATTAATCAGTCTAAAGAGTTAAAGCAAAAGTTATCATAGACTCAATATCTCCAGATTGTTCATTTGAGATATGGAAGTCGCAGAGCCCAGAAAACTAAGATATATTCAAGATGCGTTATTGTTTTCAATGGTACTAATTTTTTACCGACTGTTGAGCTTCATAGAAGCAATATATTGAACAACATTTTAATTTTTCTGCTCAAAAATTAATTTTGAGAAAACCACGAAATAATGAGAAATATTTTCACTACTCATGGTCGGTCACATGACAATAGTTTCAAACCGTTGAATAGTTCGAAATATATAGAGATACACAGGATCATTTCTTTTTGATCTGGTCTAGGACAACACTTTCAGAATCTATTCGTATTAAACATATTAATAATTGTTCAATACTCGTCTTTTTTATTTATTTAGTCAATAGCTAGGTTTATTTAGAATTACCTCTCTTGAACTATGTTCTGATTCATAAGTTCTATCAGATAATTAGCTTAAACCGATTGAATATTTTACTAGGAACTTCATATTTCGTTCTGGTCTGACACATCTTTGATGATGTAGTATCGAATTACTTAATGCTCATCAATGGTAAGAGTCTTTTATATGGCTATCATTTTAGTAGTCAGTAGAATAGATAAAATAGTCAGTAAGCAAAATAATTATAAAATCAGTAAAATAAATTAATATTCAATACAGTAAATGAATGATCAGTAAATTGAATAAAAGGATAAGTAAAACAATCTTTAATGTGTGATAGCGTGATTCACCTTTTTTTCTTCAAAAAAGTATTCGACAATTTTCATAAGCAAATAATGTGTTGGTCACATATGAGAACAAAGGTTAACAATCGTGTATATCAAAAATCTATTATATACCAGCTCGTGATTTACAATCCATTACACAAGCCGATTTAACTAAATACAAAAATAAAAGTGGACAACGTTTAATCAATTTAAAAATCATTTGATATTTGGTGTATGGAAATGGAAAATAATTCAGATTGGAAAAAATCAAAATACAGCTGCCCATCGTCTTTTAAGAGTTATATACGCAAACATATTGCTGGTATGGCTATTCGTTTAAAATGTTGCAATCCACCACCACCAGCAAAAACACCCAGGTCAACGATTCCGGCCTCCGGATTCTTCAGGAACCGGCCGAAAACAGCCGGAAAAATACCCGGAACATGGAAGCGGTATTCCAACCGGAAATTTCTCATACTCGGAAACTGAATGTTCCGTTAATTTCCAGAAACTAGAAATCAACGGGAAAAAACTCGGAACCTAGAGGAATCCACCGGAAGCCGGCAAGAAACGCACCGTTTCCTACGCGAAAAACATGAAAACAGCTTCGAAACCTCTTTGAAATATCTATGAAAGATCTTTCAAATACTTCGAACGATACTTTTCCCATACACCTCAGGTTGATGTCGTCTTGCGCACGTAAGTCGCAACAATCAAAAGACATGATTTTCGCACAGATTGCGCACAACGGTCCTTTCCTGGGAGCTGTTTTCAGACGACTATCTAAGTTTAAGAAAAATAAAATATGTCGGAAGTCTTTTCTCGCATATCTTACACTAAAAGGTATGATTGAGTTTGAGACCAGCAGGCTCTTCAATACGAAGATTTGGTATGTACACCGACATTGGTGAAACTGAAGGAGAAAATTTGAATCCACATCCTCCTTAGGAACCAGAATGAAATACCACGCTTTGGTACTTCGTGGGTATGGAAGAGTGCTCGCTGTGGGGCACGGCATCAACTCTGTCTTTGCACATTACGCGTAGGAATTGTGAAGTCTTTGAAAGATCTCAGAAGTGATAGAAAGATCTTTGAAAGGATTTTGAGAGACTTTGTGCAAACTGTCCTAAAGATATTTAAAAGATCTTTTAAAGTGTTCGAAAAGTCTTTGAAAAGTCCTCGAAATATCTTTCAAGGTCTGAGAAAGACGTTTGAAGGTCGTTGAAAGTTCTCTCCAGGTCTAATAAAGTGTTCGAAAGTTGTTTGACATATGTTTCGATGCATTTGAAAGATGCTTGAAATTCGTAGAAAGAGCTTTGAGAGATATTTCAAAGATTTTTCAGTGTGTTGGAAAGATCGTTGAAAGTCTTAGAAAGATTTTTCAGTTTCATAAAGACATTTCAAAGATATTTTAAAATTTTCGAAAAGGTTTTGAAAGATCTTTCGATCTCTGGCGCAGTTTGAGAAAGATATTTGAAGGTCGTTGAAAGATCTTTCAAAGTTTCAGGAAGTCTTCCAAAGATGTTTGAAATATCTTTCAAAGGTCTTTGAAAGGCTGAATATGAGCTTTGCCAACAAAACGAAAAGAGGTAGGATATTATTGGATCCTGTGATTGGGACGAAATCCCGGAATCGTAGTTCGGAACTGTACCGAAAACGGCAAGTATACGACTCGGATCCGATTAAAGTGATTAAGAACAGGAAACTTAGTCGGGAACCACACCGAAAACGATAACTGTATCCGAAGACCACACTCGGAGGTAGGAATGAGCGGGAACTAAGCAGGATCCGAATGCCAGATCCTCTTTGGAAACACTGTTTCCAGGAATTGGCCGGAATTTCACTGGATCCGGCCGTTTCCCGCCGTACATCTTTGATCTGGGAATACTGAAAACAAATTATAGAGTTAGCTGGTTGAAAACATTTGTTTACTCTTTCACTCTCGCTTGTGGCTCTTAGAGAAAAAAAGAAAACGACATTACTACATGCATTCGAATATTTTCTAGTTTGATATGACAGCAGCTTCATCAACGCTGATACCACGTTTGAGAAAACAAATATTCATCAAAATCTGACGTCTATTACCTGACTAAAATCATGGAATAACTATCGGATGTGTTTACTTGAATGTGCTATAGGTGTAAATAGCAGCTCTCTTTGAGCATTTCTCCAGCCACGTTCGAAAAATCATATACATTTGAACTAAAATGAAACTTTTTGATCAAGGCAAAATTACTGCAAATCTTTGCCTTATCTCATTATTTCGGTTACAAAATGTAAAAAAGATATCAGACGGATTTGAATAGGAAATGTTTTCTGCTCTAAAACAGGATATTCGCAAGCTCTTTGCGTAGTTTTGTGTCAAAGATAGACCACACTATCACAGCACATTCCATCTACTGTTCAAGCATAGGAAAAACATGTTTGAACGCAATTTTTCTTCATCCCATAGAAGCAGTGGTAGGTGTGAGTCTAATTCGTGTCTTCATCCACACTTACTCTCATCTTGACACACATATTCTCACCGTACCTATTCTAAAAACAGTCACATCTGTTTTATATCATCTTGCGCTGGAAAAAAGTTTCGCTAATGTCATAGGCGAACAGTAACACAACTGAGATGATGGAAAAACTAACTATAACACTAACGTCCTCGCCTTCATCAAGATTTCTCTTATGATTTGAAATGGACTATCAGCAGCTATCAATGTCGATGTCATTCTTGGGTTGACAGACTATGGAAACTATTTCAGATCCTTGTATTAGAATATTCCTATTGAATTATTAGCAATTCATGGACTTTGTGTGAAGAGATTTTCTTGTGTACATTAAGGTATTAACTTGTAAGCAATGGTGTATTTGCCGTATACATTAAATTATATGATGTTCTTATACAAGAATTCAGCTCTTTTAATGTCCTAATATCATTAAACTAGTTTCTTTTTAAAGAAAAAAACGTTCGAAGTATATAAAGATGAGTATGATTGTAGAGGCTCGATATTGACTGCTTATGAGAATATTTATGAAAGTTTTTGCTTTGAGACTTTTTATTTGAATATACATGAGAACGAAATATGACGCATTTCAAAGTAAAAGATAATTTGATCTTTTCCATTATCTTTTGTTTTTCAATTTCTTGTGATGTATAAATAGTTTTTAATGTTATTTTGTGTGCAAGATTTACTCTGCTCAAATCACATAAGCATAATGTTTTTTTTCACACCATGTGCGTCTTGTGTAAATACATTTGCGATAGAAAATATTACAAAAAAAAGAAAAGAAACCTATTTCAAATAACGAACGGTAAGAAAATAATGAAAGTTGCCTTGCTGCAAAGGTAAAAAAATGATTCATGCGATAAAACAACCAAACAATGTTACATACACAACACCAAGTGAAATCAGCAGGTTCGTGACAAAAAATTTTCTCCATATATTGGAATTGGGTCATTTCGTTGTGGTGAGTAACTTATTATAATAATGCCAACATCAGAAAGAAGTCTATTAAATAAGGTTTACATAGTATTAATAAAATCTGCACATTAGACACGATTGAGACATATGAAGTTGATTCGAATGATCGACTTTTCTTTTGAATGATCGATTGATAAATTTGTGTTAGTTAGTAGTCTCCTTGATTTACTTTGCTAGATCTATCTCATTTTGATAACAATAGGTATAAAAATGCTAGCGATACAACAGTAAGAGTATGAGTGAGAGTGTGGGCGGTTGCGTGTAAGTCTTCTCTTTATCGATATCTCCTACATATCATCTTTAAACTTATATAAGATCTAATACAACAATGTAACACAATTCCAATGTTCTGAAAAGTTGATTATTATCAAGAGACAGAAAGATCAACGCTGGAGAAAAAAAAATACTATAAAAATTACCGTTTATTACTTTTCAGATATTCATCATTTTAATATTTCGTGAAAAACATTTTTCTGCTCAATATGACCACAGGAGGAGGAGGAGGAGACGAAGCAACAGCACAGCGTATATTACGTATTACAGACATTGCCCAAGAGCCGCTAGAATTTCTTGCACCTATCAGCGGTTATGGAAAAATGCCCCTAGTTCCTCTGGAAGAAGCAGTCGAACCACTTATTTCTATCCTACCAGACGTTCAGAGTCACGCTTATGTCGCCAAACGAAGATGTGAGAATCCTGCCAATGGACTGTCACGAGATGAATCTGCTTCAATTATGCTGTACACGATGGGGTGGGAGCCACTCGATGAATGTCTATATTTCGTTTTGAATGATGCGTTAAGATCACCAGATCGACAACAAAAACTTAAACCATGGTATTTGTTTCTGAGACTCTTTCTTAGTGCACTCTTTCGTCTTCCACCACTTCCAAAAACTGCATACAGAGGTATTAAATTAGATCTGAGCAAGCGTTACATTGAAGGAAAAACAATTGTCTGGTGGGGTTTCTCATCGTGCACAACTACTGTTGGTATTCTAAAATCTGAACTATTTTTGGGAACGACAAGTGCTAGGACAATGTTTACCATACAATGCCAATCAGCTAGAGATATTCGTAAGCATTCGTATTACTCAGCTGAAGACGAAGTACTTCTTATGGCTGCGACTCAATTCAAAGTAATTAGTTGTCTTAATCAAGATAATCTTAACATTATTCAACTGGAAGAAACTCATCCATCATATCCACTCTTACAGTCAGTACCAGTTGATATTCCACCATCGATCAATCCAATTTTTCCAGGTAAGTGAAAACAAAAAGATATTCTGCTTTATACATTGTATATTGACTTTTGATACCATGAAGGAAAGCAAGAATTATATCTCTCAATGAGTGCATCATAATATATGAACACAAAGAACTGATTAACTAACTTCTAAAAACCTATTTAAAAATCAGAATACAATAGAATAAATGTAAAAGATCGGAAATAAAAATATTTTTCATGACAATTTTCCATGAAATTTAATCGAATTTTCATTCCAAAGAAAGACTTTCACGACAAAAAAAATTATTTTTTCTTGTACAATCTAAATTATTCTTTCAAATTAATTCGTTTTCGAAATTGATAAATATCTTGTAAACCATTTTCGTCTCTTACCATTGATGAAAAGAACTTAGCAATCGCTGAAAACATTGTTTAGCATCTGCTTCACTCTCATGTTCTAAAATTTTCAGTGTTTGTTTTTCATCCGTTATGCTTCATAGGTAGACTCATTGGTGATTCAAACGTATTAGAACAGGAATGATGAACATTGCCTGAAATCGAAGAAAGGTGTACTCAAAGACTATGGTACTCTGATGCCAGCAATATTGGGTGCACGTTATGAGAATCGTTCCCTTTAGTCAGAAATCCAACAAAAATCTTTTGTTTTCCAAGCACTCTTGCATACAAGTTACATTTTCAGATAGTTCATCAATTCACATAGGGCTGAAAACCATCTGCTGCATAGTCAACAGTAGTCGAGCATCATGAAATAAGTGGGCATGGATAGTTATGGATTTAAAGAGAGCATTGAGAATGATCGCTTCTCCCTTCTGAAGTCTTTTTTGATTTTTCTTACCAGAAAACGTTCAAAAAACGAATCGGTACGGCATCTAATGCAATTCGAAACATGCTGTTTGATCATGATCACCATCCCGACTCTTTCTAAAAAGCCTAAATTTGTCATTGCGCGTGATTTTCGATCTGAGTATGTGATTGTGTAGGTTAAGTTTTGCGTGTGTAGAGATCTGTGAGTGTGGCTGTTGGTTTCAGGCGTAGGGTCCTGTCATTTCTTCACACACACATCTTCGCATCCACACTTCATCCTAACAGAATTCTGCATTTCTAGTTTTGAAAGTAATTTGTAGTAGAAGTAGAATAGATCTCAAGGAGTGGATGCGGATTGCAGATTCCTTAGGAGCTTCTGACAGTTCTGAAATAGTTTTAAAAACCATAGAATTATCTTTATAAATCTGTAAAACTATCGGAGCAAGTTCGTCATGGTATGTTCTTCAGTATTTCGAGATAGGTTTTACCTGAAAATTCCTATTATTTTTTTTCGATGGTCTTCTTCTGAAATTTATAGAACATTTCCTAGGACTTTAATACGATGATGTCAAGCAAATCTTGACAAAAACTTGCTAATATCTTGCTAGTACCTTTTCTGATTCTCCAATTAAGGGCCTGCTTTGAAAATTACGATTTAAATTCTCCAAAATAGAACTTGGAGAAATCCCTAGGAAACCATTCTGAAAACTTCTAATTCGATCCTTATGTTTTCCGATCTAGAGCTTCGATAGAATTAGCATTGGTTTTCTTAGTATTTAAAATGCTCTATCTTGAAAGATTTCCCTGCAAAATTCTCAAGGTACGGGCTTTATTTCCTATGAGAAACCTACTCTGATATAACTAAAATTCTAGACCATCTCGCTTTTAGGATCTAGGATAGGTCTTGAGAAAGTCTGAGCAAATATTGAGAGAATCCTCTCTCCTTATCCTGTTAAGACGGAGTTTTCAATGCAGAGAAAACATCATAGCAGGAACTTCAACAAATCCCTACAAACACGGATTAAGTAGGATTTAATATACGATTCTGATAGATCTTTATAAGTTTTCTCTACGAAGGCATAGACTACTCATTTTCACTAAAACAATCTCTCCTAGATGGTTGATAAGTATTTCGGCGCGGGGTTTTCTACTCATGGAGTGAAACTTAGAAAGAATGTCGAATCAGCTTCATTTATCGAAAAATCTATTTTTTCATAGGAAAAACTAAAAAGGATTTCTGAATTTTTATGGATGTCAAGAACCTTTTTGCAGTTTCATGAATATTCGTTTTTTTTTGTTAGACTGTAGTAGAGAAGGATATTCTCGGGAATTTTGACAAATTTCCTTTGAATAAGAATGCTCGATGTGTAGCTTTTTCCAACGAGCGAAGGACATTTCTTCGACAAAGACGATGATTCCTCCCTTTCCTCTTTCATTCTAGTGACTCTCAATATTCCAGTCGATGCCCGATGGGCACAGAATGGAGTGATTGTTGCTGGAGGCCGTGGACGAGGCTATGCAACCTATCAGTTCAAGAGCCCGTTTGGTCTTTTCATTGATGATGAGCAAACGATGGTCATTGCCGACGCGTCTAATCATCGCATCATTCAGTGGAAGATCGGTGAGACGAAGGGGCAAGTGGTAGCTGGTGGCAATGGCCCAGCAAATCAATTGGATCAATTGAATTTCCCTACCGATGTCCTGATCGACAAAGAAACTGATAGTCTCATTATCTGTGATCGAGACAATCGACGAATCGTACGATGGTCTCGTCACAGTGGTACCACTCAAGGAGAAATTCTCATTGACAACATCTTCTGTTGGGGAATGGCCATGGATGATCAGAGATGTCTCTACATCTCTGACGATAAAAAACATGAAGTAAGACAATATCAATATGGAGAGAAAACGGGAATCATCGTGGCTGGCGGTCATGGGCGAGGTGATGGTCTGAATCAACTAAACAAGCCAAGGTACCTCTTTGTCGATCGACAACAAGCGGTCTACGTATCGGACAGAGATAATCACCGTGTAATGAAATGGAATAAAGGTGCAAAAGAAGGTATTGTCGTTGCTGGGGGTCAAGGCGAAGGGAATGCTCTCACACAGTTGTCGTGTCCTATCGGACTGTTCGCTGATATTTTAGGTACCATCTATGTGGCAGACTCGGGAAATCATCGAGTTATGCGTTGGCCCAAAGAAGCAAAGCAAGGCACTGTTATTGTGGGTGATAATGGTCGAGGAGAAGGTACAAATCAGTTGAATGAACCGGCAAGTTTGTCCTTCGATCGTCATGGCCATCTCTATGTCGTCGATTGTTCGCACTGTCGAGTTCAACGATTTTCTATCGAACAGACGACTCAAAAAGCTGACTAGGTTTTTTTTCTATCTCATAAATGACGACGCATAAGAAAGAAATGGCTATTCAGAGGAGAACAAATTTCATGTCTATTTTGTTTGCACAAGCGCGACCAGCAATCACCCTAATAATACCGTTACAGCTAAAAGAGTGTGAATGTGAGTGTGAGTGCGCTGAAATACCACCATAATTAATAAGTCCTCAATAGAGAAATTAATTTCTTTGAAAAAAAATCTGGGAAAATCTAAATGCCGGTATCCCTTGGTGGGATGAGGGTGCCTGTGGGTGGTCAGTTGGTTCAGAGAAAAACCAAATTTTACATTGCTACCCACGTTAACAGACAAAAAAGAATTATAAACAGCACTTAGTTAAAGAAAATGCAATATCAAAGACAAAGTTCGCAGAACAATTCTATGAGAGAATGCGTAATGATATCAGATGAAGTTCATCAGACCTATTTAATTGTTTCATCGCGGAGTACTTACCCATAGATTTCTAACTCTTTTACAATATCTCAAAATTAATAAGTGAAAATCTGACAACCGTGTCACATTTATGTGGTTGCGTCATAAACTAAACAATGAACTCTTGAACGCGATGCACTCTATAAATGCTTGCTTTCTACGCGATTGGTTATGGAGTGGGATGTAGGTATTAATATTCACACCGACATCCACACCCACCAGCTAGTTCTACACTGTATAAAAACTACGCACAATGTTCTACCATTGGACTTTAAAAAAGTTTTCATAAACATTTGAAGGATTTATACCAATGTCATATATCCCTTAATAGTTTATCAGTTTACAAAGCTATTCACCAAACACATTTGCATTCCCATTTACATTTACATTCATCCGCTGTCGAAAACTCGCTGAAATATTCATCACCTATTTTATCACCAAGAAAAGAATCTTTTCCTCATTATTTGCAAAGAAAATGACTGTTATGAAAAAAGAATGCAATAACGAGCCATAAGTAGTCAGCCTAAAAGTTAAAAACTAAAACATTAGTATTTTATCACAAACACAATATTCATAATGTTTCATTTTTCTAATGAGAATGTTGCTCAGGGATATCGATTTCACCAACAACCCGCATCATTTCGTCATAGCAACATGTATTTGATCACAATTAGTCATTTACCTCTTGGTAAGTTGTAGTTAGCAATTTCTCTCACCAGTGTGTAGAACACGACATCAGTTCTATCTCGACACGTAAGAATTACCAAGGCGTTTGTATTTCAACGTTATGTGTAAAGACAAGGTATATGTGATGCTCTATACGCTCACCAGAAAAATTGCTTATAACAACTCACCAAGAGGTAAATGATCAACTGTGATAATATACATGTTGCAATGATGACAGCGACTGGGTTAGTGGCAACATTAGCCTGTCAGAGCAACACTTTTGTAATAACGAGCGAAACAGAATAGTGTTACAAACTGTGATAAATCTAATGGAATAGATAGTGTAGATGCAATAACATGGAAAAGAAGTGATCGAACACTTTTTTGTAAGGTCATTGACACAATACTGATTTTGGAGATCTCAGTTGGAGTGATGTCCAAAATAAGAGAATAGGTGTTAGCGATAAGGAGGCAAAAGAGTAAGCACTTGTTGTACATCTCATTGAAAGTATTGTAATTACCAATGGAAGTTAGGCTGTGATTCGTAAATATTCTGGGCGAACAGTTAATTAAAATTCCAAATTTACTATGGTCACAAATCATAATAATAATCTGTCTCGTAGTTATCTATTCAGCTGTACGATACAATCGATTGTTTCCTAGTACGTCATTAACCATTCTTCTCAGTTTTAGAGAAAAATTATGGTGAGATCAGATATTGAAAAAAGACGCAGATGGCAGAAAACAAGAACTGAACGACTTTGACTAGAAGAAAATTGCATCTTCCGAGCACACAATGCAAACGTTGTAAGTAATACGATAATTATAGTATCATGAAACAAATGCCACAGCGCGTATTTAATGATAGATAATGAAAAAAAAAAATTAACTTAGTCTAGTTTAATGTAATGTTCAGAAGTTGTGATATATTACTGCGTTAGGACAACATCGACATTGCAACAATAATATCTGGATATTTTAAGTTTTTGCAACCGATTGTCATATCGTTTTACTGTGTATATGGTTTATGAGAATATGATGAATAGAAATCTGATTGTAGCTTCTTCAATTGAAATTCGTGATGATATTATTACAGCTGTTAAATAACGTAGGAATCGCATATAAAATTACTCTTGATAATTTTGTTTTTGCGACTTTCCATAATCACACAACTTCATCGAAACTATAAAAAAAATCTGATTAAATAATTTCTTCCAATAACATTCATTTAATCCGTTTACCATTATATTTCTAGATATAGTATAAACCTTCATTCATGATTTCTCATCGCATTCTGGTACTCTCACTATATCTTTTGTCCCTTTAAGTCAATAAAAAAACTTCCATGTTTCAATTGATTACATGTGTGTTGTAATAAGCAAATTTTACTCGAACTTTCTAAAAAAAAGTCTCATTTCTTTTAGCTTGTATTATCATGATATCATTCCTAGAAAAGCATATTGAAATAATCATAAAATTTGCCAATATATCAACAAGAACTCTGTTTATTCTCATTCTAAATGCTTTTCATCTGTTTGTAAAAATAGAAGAAAATTATTTCAAGCAGTATATTCAGATTTTCAAAAAAAACGAGAATTTTCCGAAAGTTTCTCTTTTAGAAATCTGCCTTTCGCTGCTCTTACTGTAGAATCTATTGGTTCGATTTGACTATCAATGAAAAACTCTAGAAGAATCTACAAATAGACAAAATAATTACTGTCATATGTAGCAGTCATATCAACTTTGACGGTGTAAACGACAAGACGATTTAATTAGATTTCTGATTGGTAGAATAATAAAATTATAATGTAAAATAATTTTCTGCGTATTTTAGTGTTTATTCTTTACGAACATGACTAAGTTGTTTTCATTATTGCACTCTCTATCAATATATTGAACTGTTCGATGAGAGCCATTCATCTATGAGAGAACAATTATACTTGAAATCACTTTAAAAAAAATAATCTCATAGCTATTTTATCAATTAAAAAAAAACTCTATTATCTATCGCATCATTGGGTTGATTCAAATGACTAGATTGATGATTATTATTTGTAACTGCAGCATTATTTGCAAAATCGAATAACATTTTTACTTTATCATCCATTATTCGTTCTGGACAATCAAAAACGTCTAAAACAAAAAGATAAAATGAATATTATAAACTGATAAAAATACTTCATTTATATTTTACCTTTGAAGAAGAGATAATTCTGCATTAACATCTGCCATACTTCATATTAGACTTGTTTGACATTTTCGCATTGATCTATGAGGAAAAATGTCTTCATCCGTAACAAAAAGTCTATATTTTTCAAAACTTCATATTTTGTTTTTTTTTCTGTTACAAAACTTGTCTCAGTTGTTAGTGGTAATTTTTCTTGATCTTGTTCTTCTTCTTGAAAACATGGCAACAATTGTTGAAAATACATTTGTCAATGCTTCTAAATATATAAAACAAATTTTATTATTAAACATAAATAAATAAATTCTGTACCCTGAGCTAAAGATGTTAATGACATTCTTGATGTTTCTTGACTAAATTGCAAATCTTCAGAAGGCGTATTTACTTAATGAGGTGATAATTCAGCAATAGTACTGATAGGTTGTCGTCTATCACAAACCACACTCATTCGAACACCACGATATGAATGTAATGCAGCCAGTCTATAAGCTTTTAGATAAATATAAATAGAAAACATGGTGTATCCGTTAATGTTTTTTCTTCATAATTTACCTTCTTCATGTTGACTTAATAAACTCAATTATCGATCTGATTGTAATTTTGGACGACGCTGTCGAATAAGTGTTTGAATTTTATCATCTAATTTATAAAATGGTTTTGATTCATTTAATACACATTAAAAATGATAAATAAATGTTTATGATTGCAAGAAAAGAAATTCTTGTTCTTTTTTCTTTTTTGTACCGGTCGAAGATCAAATTTAACTTGAAATCGTTCTGTAAATGATTGTGCAAAATCAGGATAAAGTTGAAAAACATGTAATAAATCATCACGATGATTTTCATTTAAAAGACAACAAACAAACTTGTCAATATACTATTCCTATCAATTTCTTTGGTATTTTTCCATTCATGATCAAATGATTCTTGCATTTATTTAGCAAGTTGTTTACTAATATGATGATATTTTATAAAACCATTAATACGTTGTTTCATTTCTTTTAATTCTTCTGCATCTTGATATAATTTAATAATAATTGTTGTTACACTTCCCAACGTGGGCGCATTTAAAAAAGCTTGAGAAATAAAAATAAAAACCAAATTTTTATTAAAATTTGTTAATATTCACACATACATCCAGCTAGCATTGAAAGAATAGAAAACAATTTTTCACCATTTGTATTCTACCCAAAAAGAGGACTCTAGTTCACTTAATGTATCATTGACAAGCAGGAAAAAAACATTTAAAAAAATGATTATTTTTCAAAAACAAATCTAGGCACGTAGTCAATTATTCATTATTAACAAAAACTTGTTTTCGTGCATATTTAAAAGAATCTAGATATTTTGACTGCGACCTTGATTATAATTAACATACGATAAAGTATTTTATATTTATCAGTCAGATGATCAAGCCATGAATATTTGACTTGTAGATTAGGTCGCTCAAGAATTGCAATAAAATGGAATGTACAAATAAACCAATGTGCAGCAATAGCAAATATAGGCATAAGAAGAAATAAAACTGTTGATCGATATTTAGTTTTTTGAAAATTTCGAACAAATATAACAAGTCTTTAAAGTCGAACTAATTTAAAACAATTTGCTAGACGCATCATCTATTTCTTTTTGTTCTGAAATAGAAGAAAACAAAATACATATACGTGTATATGAGAACAATGAATTTCAAGCTTATGGTTTCTTTTTCTTTTCAAAGAAAATATCAAATTACCGAATGACTTCCATTGCCAAAAAATACAATATCCCATGGTAACGCATCGAGTATATCAGCTCCAAAACGTCTCCATGAATCAATAACAAAACGTTCAGCTATTAAAATAGGATTTGTTATTACTTCATGTGTTTCTTTTAAAACAAATGTCGTTCTAAAATAAATACATATCATATGTTCATTGAATAATACTTATTTAGAAAAAGAAAATTACCCAAATCTAATTAATATATCAAATATAAACATAAAATCGACAAGTACATCAGTAATAACTAAAATAGGGAATACTTGTTCGTTCTCGATTAGTTTGTCGTGTTGCTATATGTGTATTTAAATTTGTTCGTTTTTGATCTTCATCAGATAGAAATTATATTGTATAAGGTGCTGTAATACCTGTATATAAAGCAAGTAGTATAAATAATACATGGCTTAAAACGGTGAATAATAAAGAATAATAAATCATTGATCAAGTCGCTGTGAACTTGCTATTATTTCATTTGCATTTTCTTGTTAGTCTAATATAGGCATAATACTAAATGTATCACTTCTTTCTGCTGATTTAGTCTAGATAAAAGAGAATGATCATTAATCTATGTTTTATTTTAAATAGAATCAACAGATAATAATAAATTACAAGAGAAATTTCTCGATCAATTTGTATATGTGATCGATCTTCAGCTGAAGCAAATGAAGAAAATCTTGTTAATCGTTTCATTGACACCGTTGTTCATTGTTCTTTGTTGTTATTATCGTCTTCTTCTTCGTCTATCAAAGGATTCAATACACAGCACTTTTCTTTTCAACACATTATCTATTAAAGGTTCTTAATTTCTTCTCCCTTGTTGATTCTTTTCTGGCCTATTTTGTTTTTCTTAAAAGAAAACCGGAAAGGCTACACCTATGTTTGATGGCTCAAAACACCTGTAAATTACTTCGTGATCGTTAGGCAAGTTGATAGTTTCAATAGAAATGGAAATTGTCTATTTCTCAATTTATCATTCTATTTGTAGATATTTTTAAAACAATTTGAAAAATGAAAGAACAATTCCCCATCAAAATACTGATAATCTTTCTCATTATATTTGTTACATGATTCAATATGTATTTCATTATTTTCTTCTTTTCATTCATGTGCAAAGACAGAAGATATTTTTTTTTAATGAGGTTGCATTTTATTATTTCTGTTTTATCATCAGAAAAAGTACTCTAAAACAAAAATGTAAGCAATTCGATCATTTTGATTAGTTTGTATTAATAACTATATAGTCGTATATAGGATTAATTAAAATCAATTAAAAACAAAAAAAATTCTTCTATCTACCTTTTCGAATGTCATGGCACCACGTCTTTGATATGATATACTTTTACTTATATATAGATTCAAAATGAGTGGTTCTTCTATTTCTATTCAAAGCGTTCATTGTTCTAAGAACATGCATCAATCGTTGTGTTTGACGAATCTAAGTGAAATGTTAAAAAATATTAACATAAAAATGGATATAAGTATAATGTTATGTGAGTAAATATTTCTAGAAAAGCAAAATCATATTGTACAATTGTTTCTTCGACATTAATTGTATGCATAAGAAAAATTTTCATACTATGTGTTTTACTTTAATACAATATTATCATCGATTCTCCCGCATATCGTTCCATGAAATGATAATTGTTTAGTTGAAGTGGTAGATGTTCGCATTGAATTCGATTCTTGAGTTTCAGTGAATGATCTATTTTTAGAAGTTTTCATTTTTATTATTAAAATGCATGTATATGAAGAACAAGGACATATTTTATATTTATATTAAAGTAAATAATATTCTTTCGATTATGCGACATCATTTACGGCCGATTGAACTTCGAAAATCATGACAATCTGTTCAATCGATGTAGTCAAATACTCGTCTCAATCATAAAGAGAGATAAAGAAACAGTTCACTTAACATATGAATTCTTCTCTCTCGCGCGCGCACGCTGGTCACGATGCCAATACTAGACGTCATGGTCAATATTGTCACATTAACGATTTTGATTTGTGTGCTATCAACAAATACGATACTGTTTTCTTATTGAGTATGAAACATTTTACTTGGTATTTTAATTAAAGCAAATTCCATATTAGTTTAATCCCATAAATTGATTCCTTTTTCCAAAAAGAAAGACGACTAGATCACAATGCCGAGATGGTTTGTCACACATGTCTGAGTATGCTCGAATGATTCCACATGATCTTCAAACATCCCTTAGGAAATAGTGTAGTCTACATTGAGCAAGTACTGAATAATCAAACCGATCAAAAAAAAATCTACTGAAAGCTGACCTTAGTCTAAAAAATTAATAAGTGCTAGAAAAATTTCAAATGTCGAATATTATATTCTCCATTAATGTTGAACTAAACCATTCACATCGTTAATATTCCTAGATTTCTTATCGAATTTAGCCATGTACTCGTGGTTTCATGATGTTTATTTTCTACTATACAATTACGTTACCATAAAATTATTTTGAAAAGTCAAAAGTAAAACGGATATTTTAACAAATAGCTTCTCTCAACATAATTCTTCATTTAGAAAATAGTAATACAAAATAATTTTTGTGGGTAACACTTGTACTTCCCAACACACACAAATCTGTTGACGCTTACTCGATATCACTCATCAAAGATGTTGAGCGATCTTTCTTTTCCATATCTGACGCAATACAATCCTTTTCCAATGCAACAGCATCAAAATTTACGACAACTCCGTTTCTTACAATAATACTATAAAGAAAACAAAACAACGCATAAACAAATCGAAACATTTTTTTTTCTTCTTCTCTTTGTAATAAAAGATGTTGCTCTGGCAGGCTAGTGTTGTGAGCAGCCCGAACAATTTCGTCATCGCAACATGTATGTGATCAGAGTTGATCATTTACCTCTTGGGAAGTTGTAAAAAAGTAACTTTTTGACAAGATGTAGAAATCAAAATATCTAGTTTGTCTTTACATTTTGCAGTTCTGTTGTTGTATTTGATTGCTGGCAATGTGTAAAGACAGCATAGATGTCGTGTCCTACATACTGTAAAGAAAAAACCTTTGGTTGAAACCCACCATGATATTTAAGAAGCAAAAGCCAAACAGAGTATTATGATTATTATTGTGCTTATAGACATTCCTTATCCATTAATTATTACGTATCTTTAGAAGATATGTATATAGCGGTATTGAAAATGAGTAAACGAGTTTCATCGAAAGCATCATGTGAAAGTTTATCGAGATTATTAAAAAGTAGGCATTGTAACGGACACAATGATGCTATTGAGGGAGATCAAGGAATATTTATTCCATTAGTTGTATGTCGATGTTTAGATGGTTCAGTTTACGATGAAGATGATGATTTCGATCAGTCTTATACAACAAAAAAAACTAGTCAAACTTTGAAAGATTTTCGTTCTGATATGAAATTAATAGTTGATCATGAAAAGCGTCCATTATGGATTACAGCAGATGGTCATATTTTTCTGGAATCATTTTCATCTGTTTATAAACAAGCTGATGATTTTTAATAACAACAGCTGAATTTATTAGTCGACCAGAATATATACAAGAAAATAAATTATCAGCTTATTCACTTTATGCTGCTGTATCTACTGGTTTACAAACCAACGATATGATTGAAATCTTACAACAACTTTAAAACATAATCGATATTTTATTGAAAGTGCTTTTGATGATATTCCAAATAAAATTGAACTTTTACGAAAAACGATATCAAGAATTAGAATATCCATCACTTGACGAATATAATTTTCATCCTGATACAATATTGAAAAATTTAAATATTGAACTTCGACCTAATGCTATTTTACGATCTTATCAAGAAAAAAGTTTAAGAAATATATTTGGTAATGGACATGCATGATCTAGATTAATTGTTCTTCCATGTGGTGCTAGAAAATCTTTAGTTGGTGTTACAGCTGCTTGTAAAATAAATAAAAGTTGTTTTGTACTTTGTAATTCAAATGTATGTATTCAACAATGGAAACAACACTTTTTGAAACTTGGTCAAGAGCTGTTAATTCTAATGTACAAGTATTTACGTCGAGCGATGAACATAAATTAAATGATTCATGTATATGTATTAGTGCTTATCGAATAATTGCACCTATTGAACAATCTAATGATAAAATAAGTCAAAGATCGTGAATGGAGTTTAATGCTGCCTGATGAAGTTCATACAAAATTATGTCTTACAGCAAAATTAGTTAGAGAAAATGATAAAATAGCTGATTTAAATTGTTTAATTGGATCTAAATTATAAGAAGCTAATCGGACGGAATTACAAAATTTAGGTCATATTACTAAAATTCAATGTAGTGAAGTATTATGTCGAATGACATCGAAAGTTTTTCTAAAATATGTATCAATTAAAAATGGTCAACATCAACGTTAAATTTCATCTATTATCAATCCAAATAAATCTTCGTAGATGTGAATTATTAATATGTTATCATGAAAAACCTGATGATAAAAAAATTTTTTTTTTTTGGGTAATATGTTTTCTTTAAAAACTTACGCAAATTTTGCATGATTTTCAACATGATGTAACTATAAAAACAATTTTTGTTTCAAAAGTTACTGATACATCACTTGATTTACCCGATGCTAATGTATTTAAGACAAATTTCAAGTCATGCAGGATCAAGAAGCACAACGACTTGGTGGTATTTTACGATCAAAACAAAAGGGGCTAATCTTTAATGATACAATCGCTTTTTTTATTCACTCGTTTCTCAAGATACTCTTGAAATGTATTATTCAGCTAAAAGACAACGTTTTCTTTTTAATCAAGGTTATTCATACAAAGCCATAAGAGGATTACCGAACGAAGACGATAATCCATTATTTTCAACCAAAGAAGGTGATCAAAAATTACTTCGAACAATTCTACCACATAGAGATTCAAATGAACATAAACAAGAAAAATTTACAAAGAAAATTGTACCATCGACGGGATCGCTTCAGCGACCTGTTAATCCATCGAACAAACTTAAACATGAACTGTTTAAAACATATCGAAAATAGTTTCTCTATTGTACATTTATGCAGTAAAAAAAATCTCAGTTATTTGTTGCATCATTATTGCTGTTTGTAGCAAATATCATGACAGTTCTATAAAAACAAACATTGAAAAAAATTTCAAAGTAAAAAAAAAGAAGTCTGATCATAAAGAGATTTGACTGAAAAAAATTGCATTGTCCGTAAAAAATACATCGATCACTTAGGTACGAGTTAGATGAAACTACATTTCTCTAGAGAAATCTAAACGAGGTACATATCACACTAAAGCATCGGATAAGTTAAGTTTAACCGTTTAGAATAATTTTAAAATGATGCTCTGTCAGACTAGTGTTACCACCAACCTGCACGTTTTCGTCATCGCATCATGTATATGATCAGAGTTGACCATTTACCTCTTGATAAGTTGTAATAAGCAACTTTTCTCATTAGTATGTAGAGCACGACATTAGTCTTATTGTTACACATTCCATGTTTTGTTACAATCGTTCGTTCTCACACAGTATGTGTAAAGACAAAGAACATGTTGTGCACTGCATATCTAAGGGAAAAGTTTGCTTATTACAACTTACCAAGAGCTAAATGATCAACTCTGATCAAATACATGTTGCGATGA